TTCCATCTCTCTCGGCTATATGAACAAGTTCCTGGAAATCGCGGCTGACAAATGACAGGCCCAAGACTTCCGGCCCAGTTCGCCAGAAGCCAGAAGAAACCGGAGGATTCAGCAGGCGGCGGCAAGCTTTAAAGGAGTCGCCATCTTGGCCAGATTGAAGCAACACGGCAACGGCCACGAAGCAACATAGCAACATCAGGCGACATTGATAGTGATTGAAGGACAGCTGTTCACACTAGGCAAACTTAGCCGCAGTCCAGTGAACGTCAAATTAGAATGCGAAACGTGTTGCCAATGGGAATGTGGACATTGCTGTTGCTGCTGCTGCTGCTGCAGCTCTTGATGTTGCTGCAGCGGACAATGGACAATGTGGCGGCACCTTTGGCTCAGACTCAGCGGCATGCAAAGCAGCAAAAGCAACAGCAACACCAAGAGTTGCTGTGCTGCTGGAGTGCAAATTAACTGAAGCATCGCCGCAATGTCAACGACAGCGGCAGCAGCCGCAACATCACGTGTTGCATGTGGCATTTTGGCGTAGGCTGAGCCTTGCCTCGGTCCTGCCCCAGCACATTCTTATAATTATGTCATTTAATTAAGCAAAGACAGTTCGCTGTGCCACGACTAATTAAAACATCGCGCCAGCAGCAGCAGCAGCAACAGAATCAGCAGCAACATGTGCAACCTACAACGCGGGCGGTTGAATGAATGACCGGCACTGTCAATGCAACGAGCAATATAACACAAACAGCGCTTCAACTTTGCCGCTCAATGGATCGTACGATGTAAGGAATGCTTCCAGGAATTTGGGTCATAATTAATGTGGCATGATTTGGCAGACACTTTAATCAAAGCGAATTGAATAGAGAATGAATAAAGAATAAACCACTCAAAAAACTAGAAATTCTATTCATATAAGAAACGCAACATTAATAAATAATTTGAGGTAAAATATCAAGAATTAATCAATGATTTCAATTTTAAAATATACATATTATTACTACCTTTACAAAAGCTTTAACCATAATAGTTCTTGTTGTGTTCTGTTCCCTAAACCCTTTTCCCTGTGTGTGTGGTGGATTTTTGTCAAGGAGTTCGAGGACTTTGTTCCAGTACAAAACGCACATCAATCATACGCAGCGGTGGCCCAGCTGTTCAATTGCAATACCATAACTCACTTTTATAGGCCATCCACTCGCACACAATTCGCTGAAAACTTGCGCACCGGGATTAAGATTTGCCGCCGAGATTCTGGCCCCGGCACGCTATAGCTATAGCTACGACCGACCGACCCACCGACTGTAAGGCCAAAAGCCTTGTGGTTGCAGTCGGTAAATTACAACAACTATTACGGTCCAGCCCCAACTTGGCTAGCCAAGTTGGCTGTTTGTAATTTCTTGGAAACTCCAGTCCAGCCCGGCTTATGCTTATGCGCTTTCGGGCCTGGCTGCATGAAAATTTATGAGTGGCCAGCGCTTCAAGTGCAACACCTGGTAGCTGACTTTGGATAGGCTCATGTTGGCACTCAAAAAGGGGCAAAGGGAACAGGAGCTCGATTTGGCCAGCCTTTTCAATGGGCCCGCATCGCATTTGATATCCTTTGTGGCCAGCAGTGCAGCAGCAGCAGCAGCAGCCCACTGTGCGTGACATTTGCGTTAAGTGGCTGTGGGAACTTTCAGCTTCTCGAATTATGAACCGAGCAGAGCGACCGGCAGCGGCCGCAGAAAGGCAAAAACTTTTCATTTGCCCGATTTCGCCTCAGAGATAAGCCGAAAAAGTTGCCAGCAACAAATGAAAATGCACGACACACACAAATATTGTCAAAAACTTGAACCTCAGATATCGCTATCTCTTGCTCTCGTGCGAGTGCAATGGCTATAGTCGCTCGGTTCGAATTGCATATATTTTTGCGGGCCAACAAATATTCAAACGTTCGGTTCGCTCGGGGTAATTAAAAATAAATTTTATGCTCGAGCTTTAACAGCCGTCGGAGCGAGCACAAAAAAGCTATAATCAAACACGCCGAGATGACTTGACGAATTTCAGATGCTCTCATTTAAGGTCATTACTAAACTCTTAACACCACGAAATTCCCAAGATTCCTTTAAAAACTAAATAGACATAACCTGTGCTCCCATTTTATGTTTCATTTTATATCGATAATCTTTTTTATGACCAACATTAATTTAACTTAATTGGTTAAATGCAAATGGGGCTTAAATGGTTAGTTTTATAGAGAAGTTGTCAGTTTATTTATTTAAATATGGGTATTTGGTTAGCAAAACTTTAAATAAATAAAATAATAGTTAAAATTTATATAATACTTGGCCAGATACCCAATGACCACAAAAGTGTACAATCATGTCCAAGACAAATAGCAAAATACCAAAACAAAAAAATAAAAAGAGGGATAAAAACAAGAGGTTGTGTGTTTGTATTTTTCATCGAAAATGTTTGAGAAAAAAGCGAGTCAAGATGAAAAAATGTAGAAAAATAAAACAAAAGCTCAAATAAACAGAGAAGCACACTCACACATATACACTCAACGCTACAGAGTCACGCGGCAGACCAAAGTTATTGCCAAAATTTTCGGCATGTTTGCTTTTGAAATTTAAATTTCACATTTGTTGTCGTTGGTTTTTATGGCCTGGCCTATCATAAAAATCTCCGAGGGAGTGATATTGTGTGTGTGTGTGTGTGTCTGTCTCAGAGTGTGTTGGCCATTAAACTGCATTGGCCAGAAGAGTATATGGCGGTGGAGTAGAGAATAACACCGATGCCGCCCTAGTTGCTTAATTTGCCCCTAATGACAGCGACTAAAGCCGGGCGAGACGGCCCCTCATAATTGACAACTAAATTGGGTTTCTGACAGTCGGGGCTGTCTTTCGAGGGGGTTTGGGGTCTCCTTAATCCCTCCCGAGATGTGACATATGCAGACTAATGAATTTTAAAATCAACGCTCGCCACAGGTGCCCGCCGTCCGTCGAGTGCCACTTCACTCCACTCCCCAGACAAACTGTCTGTCAAACGATTTGAATCCCAGTCTGAATCGGAATCCGAATTCGAATGCGAGCCCAAATCGCGGCATGAATGAATTACAGCAGCGACTGGGGGATCGCTGGATGGAATCAAATCAAGCATCAATAAAGTCGGCATATGAATAACATGAATTAAACATAAATGCAAAAGGAATGGCCTCGGCACACAGCCTCCGCGAGCTGATTGATCACTTTGCAGTTGCAGCCTCACTTAGCCCGACATTCCGCAGGGATCGGGATTGGGCTGGGAATGGGAATGGGGGGTCGGGGTAGGAATCGGGAGTTACGGAGTGTCAAGGGGAGTTACGCGGGCACTGAGCTGAAATTTTAAATTAAAATTTTGCACACTCGAAGAGCAGGAAATAAATTCAGCGACCACGCCGCATGGATGCATGTCACGTTTGGGTGTTCGCTGCGTTTACGTGGAACTGTCAAAATGCAAACCGAGCCGAGAAATAAAACCAAAACCAAAACCAAAGCCAGCAGCAGCAGCTACAGCGGCCAAATCCGAAAAGCTGCAACAACAATGGGCCCAGCAATGCTAAGTGCCAAGTGAAAATGGTTTGGGGCATCAACTGTCAAAACTGACAGCAGTCACAGTGACTCTCAGCCCAGAAAACTGAAAGCCCAAAACAGAAAACCGAGCCAACGGTGGCTCAAATTGAAAATTAACTTAGCGGAACTGGAAATTTTTTTTTGGAGGCGTGTGAACCTCACACACACACCTCAGAGGTCTTTGGCAAAAAAAGTATATATGTATATGAAAATGAAACAAAAAACGAAAATAATGTCGTCTGGGACGTTTTTTTTTTGGGGCTTTTTCTCCCTAATGAGCATAGATCATTTTCAGTCTGACCGAGGAACAAATTTCAGACAATTAGGAGAAAACTCAACTAAAAGAATACACCACAGTTTAGTCGGGGAAAACTACAATCATAATAGAGTTATAAAAGACAGAATAAAGAAGAAATACCCAATTTGTGGGGTTTTCGTTTGGTTTTTTTTTTAGACATTTTGAGCTTCAAAATAAAGACTAAAATATTTCGGTTATATATGTTCCGTTTAAGTTATTATTTTTGAAAGTTTGGCTTCAATGCTTTCCTTTATTTTAAATAATAATAATATCTTAATCTTCCTTAATCACTATAACTTTTCTATGTCAATCTTAGATTGTCTTGTCCCTGGTTTATCGCCTGCAATTGTTTCCAAGCTTTATCTGTAACTTTAATTTAGGTTCCAGGCATACAATCTAGCTGCAGGACAACAGAGATTGCTATCGACTTCTACTCCCTTACCCCTTGAATTTCAATGGCGGCCAACAGGAAACGCTCACTCAGCAACACAAAAAAGGCGCGAAGCCATCGATTTGTGGGCGGTGGGCGGTTCATAAGGGGGCAGTTGGTTCTATGGAGAGCGATGAGGCGGAGTGGTGGTTACACCCACGCACTCCGTAAAATACCAACCAGAGCGGCAACTATCAGGCAACCCCCGCCAAAATACATTCATTAAAAACGCATTAGAAATGACATTAGAACAAATGTCCAAGGGGGAACAACCGACGAAAAAAGATGGAAGAAATTACTTAAATAAAGCATAAATCGAAATGGTGGTTAGGTTGCGCGGTACTTTCCCCACAATATATATTTTTTGTGACTTTCCATAAATCTCTATTAAGTTAGGTTGACACTTGATGGAGAATTTTAAAGCTTAGAAACATATTAGTGTGTAGTATAAATGGAATTTAGTTGAGATTTAATTGAAAAATAGTTTAGCTTTAAAATATGCCCCTTGAAAAGTGAGTGAATAGTCAAATATTTAATAAATCTATTTATTATTATTGCAGTCCTATTGATTCTGTAAACTTCTCCCAGAAGATTGTATGTATTTCTTCAATTCATTTTAATAAATCCCCATTAAATTGTCAAAGAATATTCAGGAAAGTTCAGTTCAGAAAATTATACTTACTGTGCTGATGATAGCTGGGATAGTAGCGCCGATGGTGTCCATTGCTTTCGAGGGCGTAGAAGGCGCTCATGTCGCTGCTGTCCAGTCCGGAACCACCGCCGCCGCCAAGGGCCGCTCCCACGCTGCTACCCGCAGAACTGGCGCCGCTGGAGAGGCTGTGATGGCTGTGGGCCAGGCTGCTGCCGGCGCTGCCAAGGCCGTTCGTTTGGGGCGAGACGCCGCCCCCATTGCCGCCGCCGCCGGAGGATCCGCCGCCTAAGCGCGGACTGTCATACCAGCTGCGAGCGGCAGCCTCCGCTGTTGAGGTCATATCCATTTCGAGTATAATTTTGAAAGCTTTTCTGTGCTACCGGGGGCCAGGAATCGAGTTCGGATCGGATCGGATCGGATCTCTATATCGCTCTAAATATCTCTGCTATGCTGGGGGTCTTCGGGCTGGCTCCCTCAATTGCTACGCATTTTAACCGCACAATAACTCTCGCGCTCTGCAAGTCAAGAAATTTCAACTTTAGCAACTGAAGTTTTGTTTTATTTTCTGTATTTTATTTTGGTTGTCTGCTGTTGATAAGATTTTAACGGTAGCCGGCGTTATCACTCGCTCTCATTCTTATCGCGGGAGCTTTACATTTTTGTTCAATTGTTTTTATGGCTTTATGGGTGCGGTGTACAGTTGTACAGGATAACCACGAGTTGATTTACGATTGGACTTTTGGATCCGCTCCGGCTAGTGCGGAGTGTGTGAGGAGTGTTTTTTGTTTGTGGGAACTGCCAAAAATAGAGGGAAGCAAATCGTATTTTTTGTGTTTTTGGCATTCATTGGTTGATTGATGGATGACCGCCCAGGGGATCTAATAAACATGTCCCCGCACAATGGCCTTGTGGCACTGTCACAATGTTTACACACACAGCAGACAAAGGCAGGCACAAAGCAGAAATCCTGGGGATTTCGGCAACCGAATCTGCGGGATGTCAGGAGTCGGCGCCTCCTGCGCGGGAAGCAGGTGAAACTAAGGGTGTGTGCGTGTGTGTGGGCGCAATCTGGGACGAATTAGAGATTTATCGTAGAGCTCGAAATGCTAGCTAGTCGACTGCCGAAGAAAGAACCTCAAGGCGTATCTCGTACAGACAACTCCCCCCTTTGATTTAGACAGGTAGCCACATTTTTTGGGGAATTTTGGGGGGCTTATCAGCAATAGATAGCGACGTGTGTTTGTGTGTGTGCACTGCACTCGATGATTTCTTTTCGAAACGATTATTATCAACGGGAGTTCTTTCTCGACTCGAATACGACTACCTCTTCTGTTTGCCCCGCTTGTTTGCTTTGGCTTCGAGAAATTAATAGTACAACCCGCGTTCGGACTCTATCTTTAAGGTGCCAGATGCCTATCGCTCAATTGACAATTGCGCTACAGAAATGCGCGATAAGGCAACATAATTTGTTACCTCCCGAGGAAGGTGCAAGAAAAACAAATAAGCAGACTTTTTGATTCTCCTCCCGCTGCTGCTGCCCCCAGTCGAAAACTCAATCAATTTATCTATCTATCAGAGGCGCAGCGATAACTGCTGTTGAGGTGGAGGAAATAAAAAAAGAAGCAAACACTTTTCATTAAATGTCTTCGTTTTGGTTCTTGTTTTTGTTGTCCGAAGTTGATAGCAATAAATTGATAAGCGCAAGTGCCAGATTTTTTGAACGCCTGTGTCAGCAATTTTCGGGTTTTTCGGCTCTGATCGTTCGATAAGGATAATGAACTTTGGGGGGATTGCGGCGGGCTAGCGTTAAAATCTATTGAACTGGGTTTATTTCCAATTTGGTTTCTTGTTTTTCAAGATGTGTGCATATTTTGGCGTTTTTGTCACTCGTTGTTGATCTTACATTTCTTTCAAAAACACTTTCGAGTATTAGTCACACTGCTTGGTTTTTCTGGGTGTTTTCTTTTGTTTCGTATATATTTGTTGTTTCTTATTTTTGATACATTGGTTTTGTTTGGTACACTGAGCTCTGTAAATTTTTGCCGACGCGTTTTGAGCTTTGTTTGTTGTTGGTGTTGGCGACCGCCGCGAGACGAGAATCGAAAGACGAACGAACGAGCGGACGGCACGAACAATCGACGATAATACGCGCAAACACGTCAACAGTTGAAAACGAACTGAACGAACACGAGCGCAAAACAGGAAAGACCAGCGCGCTGCTTGCTCGCCCACCAACACAGACGCACACGGGCACACGCACACGGGCCGAGAGGGAGCGCGAGCGAGTGAGCGAGAGAGGGGGAGAACCCGTTTGCCGAGGCCCGGCCTTCGTGCGTACGTGTGAGTGTGCTGGCACATACAAGATGGTCGCACTGTCAAGCAGTGCGGCCGGGGGAGCGAGAGAGATGGCCGTTGTTTTCCGTGCGGACAATATGGCTGTCACACTTCCGCTTGGCGAGCGGGGCGTGTTTTTTTGCAGGTAACCGGTTGCAGTTGCAGTGCTGCTTGTTGTTTGTTTGCCCCTCCGATTGCCGTTGTTGCTGTTGTTGCTCTCTCCGCTCGAGTGCATCGTTCAATAATCTCTCTGCGGCACGCCTCTCTGCACTTGACACACACACTCGCACCAGCACTCGCCTTAGCAGCGTTGCGTTGCGTTTTGGTTGTCTGTTCGCTCCACGCCGCTCTCCTTCCTTCCTCCTCGCCCGCTGTCAAACAGTGACAACAATCATCGATCGTTCCGTTTGTGATTATGTGGTTTATTTATGGGCTTTAACATGTGTGCAGATTTGTCTGACGATTTTTGAGTTATGTTTGTGTATGCGTATGCCAGGGCGTGAGAGCGGGATGGCTAGCTGCAGCACACACACACAAGCACTTACACAGACAGGGCTAAATTTGCATAAATTAGCAGCTGGAAATTAAGAGAACTACACATCCCCCTCGCACAGCATCTTTTGCGAAAAGATAGTTCCTATCTAGATGCAAATTATTAATATGGAGCTCATATATTTTCGCGGCAAGTTGGCTCCTTTGCTGGTGCGTATGTATTGTACATCTGCTGCGCATAAACAGCTAGCACACACACAGGCGCGCGAACAAGGAGGAAGTCGAGTACGTGTGCAACATTTTGCTTTTTTTACTCGCCACAGTCAAACTTCAAAATAATAAACATTCAGAGGTCGAATTTGTTGGCATATAGTTAAGGTAATGGTTACCAATAATTAGATGAATTAAACCAATAAATGTACTCTTGTAACTTTAAAGCAGTCCATGTTTTAATCTTCTCCTAAAACCATCATCCTTGGTTGTATACTACAAAAAATCTGCGAATAAAAAGTGTTTACCTAGAGAAGCTATATTTCCATAAAACAAATTTTTTATGACGTTGTTGTGAGGTCTAAGTGGCAGAAGTTCGACTGTACACTTGCCCCCGCATTGATTTTCTCATTTAAGAAGCTAACTTTTTGGCGCCAAAGGGTTAAGTGGGGCTGCACCTGTGCACTGGCAAAAGGATGCTATCTCAGATGGGAGACTGTGAAAGGGGAGCTGTGTGGAGAGCACAGGAAAGACAGCTGCGAAACTTACCGAAAGTTTCCCAGGCCGACTTAATTCCACATGAATATTTTTGAATACATTTCGTATTCTCGCATTGATCGTTTTCCAAGGCATTTCATAAGTTCATATTGCCGAGATACGGATCTGACCAGATCTGGCCGGGCTTATGGCCGAAATAAACCGTTTGTCAAAGCCCCGGGCTGACTACCTAAGTAGTTTATGTATGTAAATACCTGCGACGCAGATAGCGCTGTTGATAGTTACAGATACATAATTCGAGATAAAGACACAACCCGAGACCCGGGCTCCCAAAGACAGTGAGCGGCTGCCAAAATATACATATATAAAAGAAAAAACCTGTAACAAAAATCAGATCAACAAACGGTGCGAACACCAAACACGAGCGACGAACCACAGAAGAGCCAGAAACAAACAAACCACCGAAGAAAAAAGCAACAACAACAAAACACCGAGAAGAAAAACAAACACCAAACAACACACAAGCAACACTGTGGTGTTGGTGTCGCCGCCAGAACAACGCAGGCAATCTGCCAGACAATCTATAGTGCAAGGATATACTATCGGATACAGATAGGATAGCAAAGTAAGCCGTCGCCAGCGCAAGATCTTCGATTAGATGGTATTGGTAGTGGTATTGAATCTGTGTCCGCAGATTAGATAATCTCGCAATTGATCGTATGGCGGCAATTTCCACTAGCCAGTGTTAACGTTTTACCTAATTACGGAGAGATGAGCATATGCTATAATTCCTTATAAAAAAAATGATCCCAATTCGGTGACCATTAATGAAGGGAGATCTTTATTGTTGTTACACAATTCTGAAAAAAATCGAAAATAAATATAGAGAAAATCCATCATAACTTCATCCACAAATGTATTAATTTCAATTCGAAAAGATTTTCGAAAGGCAAGAGTTTTAAAAAAGCACCGATCCAAGCAACAAATTAAAAAGTAGAAATTAAAAAAATAAAATAAATAAATAAATACAAATTTAACTCAGCATGCTCACTTCAAAATAATTTCCATGATTTTATAATCATAAGATTTTGAATAAGTACATCGAACCACTAAAAATATTGTTTATATATAAACTGCGATTTAAATTTTGACTGATATAAATCACCTGAGATCCCTCAGCAATTCGAACGCTTTGAGACAGCACTGGAATGCCACCGCGGAAATCTCAATGGGTCTTGGGGACTCAGCGATAAGATTCCCCCCGTCATGTCTACTTATGGGTATCAAAATGGATGAATTGTCACGTCTGCCTGTCGAGCACTGGGAACTCAACTGGTAATCGCCAGATGATAAGTTCACGTCAGTCTCAATTGGTTGAGGAAGTTGTAGCAGGCGTACAGGTGGCACCTCTCGATAAGGATTTCAGTTTTGGGTATTGATGAGATATACCAAAATACTTATGAGGGCATCTATCAAAAATTTAATAAATCGGGGTACGTCTTATAGGTTGTGAAAAACATAATCCTTGTAAGATTCCAAGTTTATGTTTTAGTTTTTTTTACTTTTCAGAATAAAGTATTTAATTACTTTGCTTTTTTAAACCTGTGCCCTCCACCTCCACCTAAGCAAGCACAATGGAAAGCATGTACATTTACTGGGCCTTTGACTTTTCCTTCTGATGCACAGTTTTCCAGCACGTGCGCAGCTTTTCCGGCTCCGTCTGACTGCGGCAATGGTGCCTCCAGTGGAACGCCGTCGAGCAGACAGATGGAGGGGGATATGGGGAATACATATACATAGGATCCAGACACGGGCCAACGTCATGCCCGAACTATAGACCATGTCTGCCCATTTCCCCTCCCACGTAAGCCCCATTTTCCCCGTAGTCTTCCTTCCCCACCTTTTTAAAGTCCGACGCACGTTGCGTGTAATTCCGATTTTAATCGCATAAAAATGTTTTGTTTATATGTATAATTTAGTTTTAACAATTTGCGTTAACCTTTTGTTACCATTTTTAATTTGCCGAGCGCTCGCTCAGGTTGTTAAGCTCGTACTTCTATTCGGGTTAGTTCATAAGCAGCAACAATTAAATGCTCCATAAAATCGGTTTAAATACGCGCTCAGTTTGCCTTGCTCCGCTATGCATATACCATATATACCATATACCCATATGGACGGTTATTATTGCCGAGCTCGGTTGTTGTTATAATTATTGTCATGCGATAGAAATCAACGACATTTTTACAGCATTTAAACAAAGCATAAATTCTGATTTAGTTTCAAAACTGTCGCCGGATTCTGTATAAGTACACGAGCGTAGAATGCATATTGCATAAACAGACTAAAATAGAGCAGCTATATCATCATCATCATCATCATCATCAAAGTCTGAACCAGTATCAGTAGCAGACATGCTTTTAAATACAATAAAAATTATATTTAAATTGCCACCAGTAATTGCATATCTCTGTCTGTGCGATTCCCTCTATTGTACGAATTATTGAGGCCATAAGTGTATTTCTGAGCACGGGTCCTCACAATTAACTGGAAAATGTTAACGAATGTTTGCACAGATTAATTACAGTGTCGAGATTGATTCGGCTCAAGGAATGTAATTAATAATTGATTTAAAGAAAACAATTTCACATTTTCCCCAAATGAACTTTGCGGAAAGTGAGTAGGGGGAATTAAAATGATTGGAAAGAGTTATTAAATAATTGCACAATGTTAAATGCTATGTGATTTCTATTTTATATTTTTAGTTGGCATGCTTGATAGACCAGTTCGAGTTAAAAATAGCTTCTGTCATTAAATCGAAGCTTGACTAATGAAGTCTAACTACAATGTTTTTAACTAGGGTAAACAAATTTTAAAATCAAAATTCTTTATATATCTGTATTTATTTTTGCATTACATTTTCCTTTATATATAGCTTTTTCTGTATAGTTTTTCGCTATCCCTTTTAACCCATCCAAATCCCAGTCCTGGCTCAGTCTGTCATCAATTTATTTTCCCCATTTATGTGCATCTCCCTTGGCAATAATCGCCAAACATTCTCGCCTCTCCACATTTCGCTGCAATGGCTGCTCCTTGGCCTTCCATTGCTGTTGATTTCGTTATAGGCTGAGTATATAATTTAATAACTATAACAACAAAGCGACAACATAGCGGCAACCACGATGGGGGCTTCAGTTCATATGTCATGTGCCAGTTTTTTGACTGCAATGCAGGACCGAAGCCCCCACATTGACACCCCTCTGGCCTTAGTCCGTCTTTACATCGTATTTGCCCCCTCATTTGCCGGCTTTTACATCCCTTACCCCATTTATTACCCCTTCCTTTGGCCCTCTGCCTCCAGCCCTTGGCCAATGCCCGCCATGCGTTCTAATTTCATAATAAACTTGGCTGCCAGCAACGAACGACGGCGGCTAAAATTGGCTGGATGCAAAACCGCAACGGGTGTAAATTTCAGGACCCCCTTGCTGCGCTTGAAAAAGGCCCCCTTCCTGCTGCAACCGCCAATGGCGGCACATCCTGTGCAGCTCGTAAGCACCTCATGCGCCAGGCTATAAATGTAAATTGCCTAAATGGGCAAAAGCTCGAGCATACGTTGGCCAGGACATGGATACGTTACGATGGAAGGAAAG